ACCAATGCCGACCACCTCTCCACCAGGTACGTCTCTCTCTCTTCCCTCACTCTCCCTTGTTATCCCACACAGCGCCCTTCACCTCCCGAAGAACCACATTCGCCCTCACCTCCACCAGCGCCCTCATGCAGCCTGGCTATGGCTGCCAGCGCCCTGCGCCCAGGCTGCGCCCTACCGCTTAGCGCCAGCCTGCCTTCTCTCAGCCTAGCGCAGCGCAGCACACTTGCAAACGCAGCAGCGTGCCGGCCTTGCTCGCAATGGCCAAGATCCCTGCCCACTCGCCCGCTCTGCCTATATGCCAGTGTTGCGTGTGGGCGGCCTCCCTTGAGCCTGCGCCTGGGCTCCAGTACCTGTACCCAGGCCCAATGCGGTTGGGGCCCACGTACTACAGTTGCGCCTCTTTCATCAAGGCGTGCGTTCAGATTCAGATAGTGGACCGGTTTCCCATTGGCATTTCCGGCCTCTATGTCCAGCATGCAATGTCGGCCTCACGTTTATGCGCCCAGGGCCTAACCAATTCTGGGGCCCTGGTCCTTCTGCATTTGCAGAGATCTGGTACTCGATGCACTCCAACCAACTTGAGTGCGGCAACTGTATAGGCCCCACTTCGTGAAATGTTGAACAAGAAGGGGCTCTCGTTGATTTGCTGGCCCACCTTCACTTAGGGCGGGGCATGGGGCTTGCTGGGGGCCTTAGCCCAGAACATGTACATCACGGCGAGGGCCCTTCAAGGGCTCAATCCTCACAGTAAAAAAAACTAGGAAAAAAACAGAAAAAATAAAAACAAACTTCAGGAACAAATATATGTTATGCAGAAACATGATACAAACAACTTTTTTTTTTTACAAGAAAACTGCACTGTTTCATACTATACAGACCGGGAAACGGGCCCGGCGTCCCTCACATCTGTGGTTATGAGCGAGGCATCACCGGCCAAGCCCATATCAGGAGTCGCTTAGTCCCAAAGAGAAGAGAAAGGCAAGAGAAAGGCAAGTTGACAACTATATGTTCCCGACTCAACCAAGAATCAAGAAATCAGAAATCACATATACTTCTAACACTCTTTTGTACTCTTTTGTACTCCAAATACTCTGAATACTCTTCATACTAGGAAAGCTAGGTCGAACTAAGAAGACAAGCTAAGGGATCTACAAAAGTAAAGTTCAGCCTGTGTTGAAGCAAGCTTAAGCTATAAAGGGCAAGACTGAACCTACATCAGCAGATAACTAAAACTATAAAAAGTGAGGCTGAGTCTTCAGCAACAAATGAGTAAAGTAACAAGTACTGTACATTTTCAGACAACAAAAAAGGGGGAAAATTCAAGCTGTGGATGGGCGCCCTGAGACAACTGCAGGTCAGGGAATCCATCCCAACGTTGAAGGAAAGTTTTCGATGCCTTCGATGTGTATCCTTTTTTTTGGACTTTAAAAGACCACTCGGTTGAGATAGTCTGTTTTATTCCGAATTTAACCTCCGCTCTTATCATTGCCAGAGTCAGTCTTTCTCCCCTGTAGACCGCTGAGTTCCGGGGAGTCATCCCCGAATTCTCAATCAAACTTGAATAAGAAATTAAAAACTTAAAAAAAGGCTGGGTAGCACGTCGTACGTGTACGCAGTGCGTACGTGTACGTATTCCAGCGTACGCGTATGAACCCAAAATCGCGCGTACGCGTACGTAAAAAAAAAAAAAAAAAAAAAATCCAAAAAAAAACTAGGAAAAAAACAGAAAAACAAACAAACAAACTTATGTGACAAATATATGTTATGCAGAAACAAGATACAAACAACTTTTGCCCAGGAGTCATCCCCAAATTCCCAATCAAACTCGAGTAAGTAAGAAATTAAAAAGTAAAAAAACGGTAATATTATTGTAATAATTTAAAAACTATTTTAAAATAGTTTTTCTTATTATTATTATAATATTATTTCGAAGTTTTTTTTAAGGTTTTTTATTTTTAAAACAAGATTGGTTGGGAATTCGGGTGTGACTCCCAAGCAAAAGTTGTTTGTATCATTATTTTGCACAACTTTTTATTTCAATTTATTTGGTTTTTCTATTTTTGATTTTTCACTCGAGTTTGGTACAGAATTTTGCGATGAGTCTCAGGCAAAAGTTGTTTGAAATATCACTTTGCATAACATACTTTGTTTTCAGATTTTTCCAATGATTTTTTTTTTTTTTTTTTACGTATTCCCATGTACCGGAGTACGTGTACGCGCGTACGTGTCACGTACAGGAATACGTGTACGCATGTACGCGCAACCCGCGTACACGTACACCGTGCAACCCAATTTTATTATATGTCCAAATTTTTTTTTTTCGCTTTTGCGCTCTGATATTCCTTTGACTCTATATATATATATATTGTCACATAACTATTGACTAAGAGCGTAAGCACGTGAAGTAGAAGAAGAAATAAGATGAGCGAAGAAAACAAAATGAAAGGACAGACAGACGAAGAGACAGACAAACCAGAATGACACAAAACAGTGTCCTCTTATTCTTTGTTTCACAGTGTTATTATTTCTTTCAGTGTTTTACAAAAAAAATTTACACTGAATCAAAGGATAAAAATAAAAAACAAAGACACATTGAAATCATTCAGTTTCGCAGTCTTCTTAACGCCTCCTCCACTATGCCTCTAACGTACAAGGCTCGCCACGTTGATGAAGTTGAGCGCGAGCTGCCCCCATCCCCGTATGTCATAACAGCCCTGCATGCTATGGGAAAGAGACAGATTGAAGGAAGAGGTGTTAAACACAAGGAAGAGAGGAGCAGAAAAGGAAAACCGATAGGCAGAGGGAGAAAAAAATAAAAAAAGTGACCCAAACATCTTCTTTCTTTCACTACATTCTTCTTTCTTTCACAGTTTTGCAGTTTTGGTGAAGAGTCTACCGCGTTCGCTTTCCAACGCACCTGCACTTCCTTCTTCATTTTTCATCTTCATTTTCACCCTTCGGACTATATATAAAATAAATAAAACTACACCCTTTTGTTTTAAAAAGAAAAAAAGAAAAAAATGAATTCGTTTTTTTATCTTCTTCCTTACAACTCCCCCTGTTCAGAATAGTTGTAAGTAAGAAGATAAAAAATGAATTGATATTTTTTTTGTTTCCTTTTGTTTTTTTTTGCTTCTGCTCTCTGATAACTTTGTGACAATATATACTCCAACGTTGCTAGCTCTCTGCTTTTGTAGATGATGCGGCGAGCGTCGGGCCTGTACTAGCAGGCTCTTTCTTTGGCTATGGTAGAATATACTCTTTTCTAATTCTCCTTTCTGTCTTTTTTCTTTTTCCTTTACTTTGCTCTTTCCTATTGTTGGGGTATTTCGTTTTACGGACCTACTGTATGGTTCCGTTTTTTCAAGTGTTGGTTATGGTAGAATTGTTGGCATTTTTGGTACTCCTTGTCTGCATCCCGGTTGGTTTTGTCTCGTTGTTCGGTCCACGTGGCGGTGTTTTCATGTGGGTTGTTCGGTCCGGGTGGCGGTGGTTTCATGTGGGACTTGTCATCCAGGTTTTTCCTTTTGGCATCCTAGTTGGCTGGTTCCCATTGTTTGGCCTATCGAAGGGGGCGATGCTTTTAGGTGGGAATCGTCATCTGGGATTGTCTTTATGTATTTTTTTTGCAGGCAAGGGTGTTGCGAGGATCAGGGTCCTCGGTAGGCCTATGGGGCCCTGTCTGCAGCCTTACCCGCCCTAAATGAAGGCGGACGTGCCCGCCCTAAGTGAAGGCGGGCCTGGCTTTTGCAAGAGGCATTCGACTGTCAATTTCATATTTGGGGTTCAAGCAGTTGCGACGCGCCAGTTGGTTGAAAGAAACACAGGCCGAGCAACAAGGACATTTCCACGGCCTACCGGGCCTTTCCAAAGAATGCAGGCCCTGGGCGTGATTCACAGCCTCATACAGTTGGGCGCCCAACCGAACGAGGCCCAGCAGCCCAGTAGCTGCTGCATCCAGGCAGCCTCCTGGGGCCTTCCGGAAGCTTCTGGGCCCAGGCCAAGGCAGCCAAGCTGCGTGAGCAGGCCAACTCTTTCCATAAAGGAAAGAGCTCGGTCCTGGCTGCCTCATTCGGGCACTCGCATGCTGGGCGGCAGCGCTGCTGGAGCTTATGCTCGTAGGCTGCTGCTAGCACTGAGAGGTGAGGTGCAGCACGTGCGGTCGTGCAGAGGAGGAGGGCGCTGCTGAGGGCAGCGCCATAGCCCAGCCACCATAGCTGGTGGGCTTGGACTACAGTGAAGCGCAGGGGTGGTCTTCGGGTCAAAGAGAGGACAGGTGTGGGTGTAGTCAGGGGATAGGTGAAGGATGATGATGATGATGATGATGTGAGGGCACTTACCTTGTATTGGCGATGGTCTGCTTGGGCGACATCTTCAAGTACTTCGGCCTGCCGCTGATGTCAACAGTTGCATTGTCTTTTGGTAGTCTGTAGTAACTGTGTAGGAGCAGGCTGGGCGCTGAGTGTGTGTGTGAAGGAACTGGACTCTTGTGTTGAGGGGAGAGAGTATGCTCTCCATGAACATTGGTTTTCAGTGCTACGAACTTCCATTGGTGTATTATTGGTGCAATGCTGCTCTCTGGACACAGTGTGACTATCTGGCTTTCAATGTGATGGTGTGAACTGGAATTGTCATCTCGCTGTTGMTTATTTYCCTTGCAATTTGGTATCGGAGCTGGTTCATATTGCGCTTCATTGGTTCTTCGCAATAGCTATTGGTGCTTCGCATGAGGTGTGGGGCAGTGATAAGGCATTGGCGTTGAACGTTAGGCTGCCCAGGGTAGTGTGGGCGCGCCAGGGAGCTATGTGGTGACATACGGGGTGTATGCTGGAGGATGAGAACTCGCTGATGTGGCATATTAAGCCGAAGTGGAACCTTATTCTGTTGTTGGTTGTGCTGAGGCAAAGACCGGTCATCATAATTGCACATCAGGTTACCGGTGAGAAATCTGTGGTTGGGGGCAGCATTAATGAGGTACGTTGCTCTCTTCCTTATCTACCCTCTTCATCTCTTCTTACCATGAGGAAGTGAGTTCTGTCTTGAGAGTCCTCTCGATGTGAGGTGTCGCGAGCGCTCAACCTTGAGAGTCGACATTCTTCCTGGGCAGCAAGCTGGTGGGAGACAGGCGAAGCCTCTGAAGGGCCCTGGACGAAGCACTCGGGTCACAATCACCATGCCAACCTGCTGGGACTAGTACACGCATGCTTGAGCTGCAAGTCCTTTGTTTTGCTGCTTGCGCAATAGAGGTCTTCCCGGGCATGCCAACCTTTTATGAGACGCTTACCAGACCGTCTATAAATATTTCTGGTTGGGGACTCGGATTGAATCTGGCTGTGATCGTCGTCCTGACGGCGACGGTAAATAATTCCTGAGGAGATGAAGGCTCTCCTAAAATTCCTACAACCGGGTGTAAGGCTCGTTCCGTATGAGGGTAAATAAGAGTGGACTGGCTGGCATGTTCGGCAATGACTTGGGGCACAAGGGTGGGCCGGATTGCACACCTTCAGACACGCTGCTCAACCAAATGCTCAGGAACATTGACACAAAGTGACCAATCAAGAAGGATACAGGGGGAGGGGGGATTCCGATAACTGTTCACAGTGGCAATCAACTATCAATCTGCCATCCAGTATACATCTCCAACATGAGATGTTATTTTTATTTTGATTATCTAGTTGTGATAGACTTCGCTAACAACTGACAGACAGCTACAGACAAATTAGATCTTTGCTGTAGTATAATCTGTCCCAGGGTAATCTAAAAATAGAATTAATATATCCTGTAGGACCTGACCAGGGTAATCTAAAAATAAAATTAATATATCCTGTAGGACCTGACATTAGTTGTTAAGATATCACCTAACTGTTTCTGTTCCATCCGACCGAAATTAGTAGTGTTTCATAATCGGTTGTGTGTCAGGCTAAGGTAGGATTCAGTGTGGATTCTAGTTTAGATCACACACACTGTAGCTTTGCTAGTGGACGACCGTAGGACTACTCTCGGGATTGCTCGTAGTCGACCCTTGACATTCTTGGAGTTAGGTCCAGGAGACGAGAGAAGATTGAGGAGAGAGGCTAGAGAGAGAACAACGGCAAGAAGAGCGAGGGCAGCCAAGGTAGAGACTTGCGACATAGCTGAGGTTGCCATGGTTGCACCGGTACTAGCTGAGACACTAGGAGTCAGTCAGAGTGGCTCTCAGGTTCCCACTAGTCAGATTGCTGTCGTGTGAGTCAGCCAGCAAACTCAACTCACGGCGAAGGATTTAGAAATCCGCCAAGCAGAAGAACTTCAGGATGAGCTTCAGCGGCAGTTGGACGAGGCAGCGGAGAGGAAAAGAAAAGCCGTACTTAGGAAGGCTAGACTAGGGAGTAGAATGCAGGAGCTAGGCAGACTGGAAACACTAGATGAGGCAGCACTAGACCCTGCTGGTCGTGTGCTGCGCAATGCTTTACTTTCAGTGGCGGAAGTGCAGAACGTCCAACAAGAATTGCTGGCCGAATTGGTAGCAGGCCAGAAACAAATCTTGGCTGAACTTCGGGCCCCTCGCACAGCGGTGAGGCAGCCACGGTTTGCAGTAGTTCCCCCTGCGGGTGCGGGTCCATCTTCGATGCCGCCACACACAGGGCAAACTTTCTCTCCTATGTTTGGCATGCCCCCTCCAGGTGGTTTGGTAGCAACTAGTGGTCCGGTTCCAAGAGTCTCAGTCGTACCATCCACGACAGTGGTAACTACAGTCCCACTGTCAAGCCAGGCCCAGGTTAGTGGGCAACAACCTGTTTCAGTGGCTATGCAGCCGCTGCAGCAAGCCCCTGGGCCCATGCAGCCTATGCAGTGGATGCCCAAGATACCTCAGATGAGTCCCAAGCCTTTCTCTGGAGATAGAAAGGAGGAGGAGGACTTGGACACCTGGGTGAGGACTATGCCTACTTATGTAAGGCACAAGCTCACAAGGCCAGAGCAAGAAGTTGTAGTGGCTGCCTCCTTTTTAGAGGGATCAGCAGCCCGCTGGTTGAATGGCTTAGTGCAGCAACAGGGCTACGGTCAGGATTTCGATGCCTGGGCTCAAGCTCAGACATTGGAACAGTTCGTACGGTCAGTCTACAACAATTGGCATGACCCGCAAGGGGCTCAAAAGGCCACCGATGCTATCAACAACCTTTGTTCCCGCAGGTTCAAGGATGTTAGAGAGCTAACAGACACCGTAGAACGCCTTCTCGTGGTACCTGGTGTGCGTTTTGACCAGCAGGTTCTCCTAACGAATTACCTAAGGTGCCTACCTGCAGAGGTAAGGACCAAGCTGGTTGACGAAGCCTATGTTGAACAGCACACCTTCGCTTTTTTTAGTAAGAAAGCTCTGGACATAGAGGCCAAGCTGGGATCTGCACATAAGGTATCCAACGATGGTAGGAAGAGACTGCCCCAAGATTGGAAGAAGAAGGGTCAGTTAATGTTCGTTGACCACGATGGTCAAATGACGGAGATTGACGAGTTCCCAGATCTTGGGGAGTTCACAGAGCAGGATGGGGCTAGTGAGACTTCAGATGGTGAAGTCGTGGCACCAATCAAGGAAAAGGCTAGGGGGACCGGGAAGAAGAAGGTAGGACGGTCCACGGGTCAGGGCGACCAAGGAACACCCGCATGGGTGAAGATTGGTTTAGACTACGAGGTGTGGAGGGACCGAGTTGCCAGGGGTACATGCATGAACTGTGGCAACTATGGCCACACATCCAGGACTTGCCGCGGCAAGAAGGTCAAAATGAAGGTAGCCTCACCAACGGTGGTGGGCTTATCTTCAAACCCTGGGAGTGCTTCTGCGAGCAGCTCACAGGGAAATACCTCGGGTCAGTAGGAGTGTTAGCCGCTCTTACTCGTGCTGAAGTGGTAACGTTGCCTTCCCCACTTCAGGCGTTGGCCAAGGCTAGTGACCTACGTATCGCCCCGCAGACACATTCAGACCCACCGACGCTCTGTTCGAGAGATGTGTCTGAGGCCCTAGAAGAGTTAGAGACTGAGTGGTCAGGGAAGGACCCCAGGGACTCTTGGGCAATGATCAGTAGAGGTCCAAAGGGTGAGCATTTCGTGGTAGAAGTAGATGTAGGTGGCCGCAAGGTTGGCGCCTTCGCAGACATAGGCTCTACACGAAATTTCATCAGTCATGCTTGTGTGGATAGACTGCACTTAGGGGACCAAGTGCAGCGGCTTAGCAGAATTGTAGCTTCTACGCTAGCCAACAAGCACCAAATGGTAATAAAAGACTATGTCAAGGACGTAGCCTGCACCTTCTCCTATGGAGGAGGGGAAATGATCCACAAGATCTCCTTCCTGGTTAGCGATGAACTGCCATTCGATATGCTACTAGGCATATACTATCTCGAAGTCTCGCAACCTCAGTTTGACTGGGATAGAAAGGTGTTGATCCACAAGTTGCCCAATGGTAGAACTGTTAGATTGCAGAAGTACAAGGCTAGCAGTCTAATAGAAAACTACGGGTGTATGTGTGCCTCATCCTTCTATAACTATTATAAGCAGAATCAAGAGGAAGGCATGTATCTAGTTTTTGTCTCTGAAAAAGAGGAGGCCGTTAAATCACCCCCAGAGATAGAAAAAGTCGTGGCTCAATATTCAAACCTTTTTGAGGTGCCCACAGACGTGGTAGAAAGGGAGGTTGTCCATGCGATAGAGGTTGTCCCAGGTAGCAAGGTACCTCGAGGACGAATCTATAGGATGTCTCCTGCGGAGTTAGATGAGCTTCGCCGCCAGCTCAAGGAGCCCACAGAGAAGGGATGGATACGGCCTAGTACCTCCCCTTACGGTGCGCCATTTTTATTTGTCCCAAAGAAGGGAGGTCCATTAAGGATGTGCATTGACTATAGGGGCCTCAATGCCATCACCGTAGCCCCTACCCCGCATTGACGACCTCTTGGATAGAGTGCAGGGATGCCGGTACTTCACAAAGATAGATCTGAAGTCCGGATACCATCAAATTGCCGTTAGGCCTAAGGACCAACATAAAACCGCATTTCAGACCAGGTACGGTCTGTACGAGTTTGTGGTGATGCCTTTTGGCCTATGCAATGCGCCTGGTACGTTCCAGCACGCGATGAACTGGATATTTCATGAGTACTTGGACAAGTTTATCGTCTTGTACCTCGACGATATTCTTATCTTTAGTAGGACTGTAGAGGAGCACGCTGAGCACTTGAAAATAGTGATAGGTCTCCTAAGACAGCACCAGTACAAGGTAAACTTGGATAAATGCGAGTTTGGTCGCACCAAGATCTTGTACTTGGGTCATGAAATTTCAGCAGATGGATTGAGGCCGGAAGATGCGAAGGTGGCCAACATACGTGACTGGCCCAGACCTCAGACTGTTACTGAGGTCAGATCGTTTTTGGGGATGACGGGCTATTATCGTCCGTTTGTGAAGAACTATAGTACTATAGCTTCCCCATTAACAGATCTAACTCGACTTGACACCCCTTGGGAGTGGACTGAAGAGTGTGAGGCAAGCTTCAAGAAATTGAAGTATGCTCTAACACACTATGAAGTTCTCAAACTTCCTGATCCCGACAAGTCATTTGTTGTGACCACAGACGCCAGCCAATATGGCATAGGCGCGGTCCTTGCACAACAGGAAGGGCCCAAGTTGAGACCGATCGAGTACATGAGCAAGAAGATGCCATCTCAAAAGTTAGCTAAGTCCACGTATGAGAGAGAGCTATACGCCCTATACAGAGCGCTAGTCCATTGGAGACACTACCTCCTAGGAAGATTCTTCTATGTGAGGTCTGACCATGAAACTTTGCGATGGATTAAGACACAGCCTGTGTTGTCAGACGCACTCAAGAGATGGATTCAAGTGATAGACATGTATGACTATCAACTTGATCCTATCAAGGGTACGTACAACAAGGTGGCTGATGCGCTATCAAGAAGGGCAGATTATCTGGGGGCACTAGTAACAGAGTTTGGCATATCTAGCGATTTGACTCGATCATTGGTGGATGCCTATCAGGGAGACCCAGTCATGTCAGAAATCATCCGTAGATTCCAAGCAAAGGACAAGAAGACTTTGGATGAGTTTACGATGGTAGATGGCTTGTTGTTCCTTGAGAAGGCAGGGAATAAAAGGTTATGTGTTCCTGATAGTGAGTTTTTACGTAGTTTGTTTTTAGGCGAATGTCATGATGCGACTGGTCATTTTGGTTACAAAAAGACATCAGCGAACTTAGTACAAAGATTCTGGTGGCCTTCTATGATGATAGATGCAAAACGCTATGTTGAAACTTGCCACGTTTGCCAAAGAGACAAACCAAGGACTCAGGCTCCGCTTGGGCTGATCAAGCCCTTGCCAATTCCTGAAGGACCAGGTCAGAGTGTGTCTATGGATTTCATGGACACCCTTGTGACCAACGAGTCTGGAAAAAGGCATATCTTTGTTATAGTGGACCGTTTTACTAAGTACGCAAGACTGATTGCCATGCCAGAAATAGCTAAAACTGACTACGTCATCAAACTGTTTATGGATAATTGGGTACGGGATTTTGGTTTGCCTACATCCATTGTTAGCGATAGGGATGTGAGATTCACAAGTGAATTGTGGCAGTCAATTGCTGAACATATGGGCACCAAACTCCAAATGACTTCAGGGAATCACCCTGAGTCAAATGGCCAAGCAGAATAGATGAACCGGGTAGTACAGCACCTGCTTCGGCATTACATTAAGCCAAGTCAGGATGACTGGGACGAGAAGTTACCTCTCGTCGCCAACTTGTACAACAATGTTGTGCATAGTACAACCGGTATGACTCCCAACCAGTTACATCTTGGTTGGAAGCCCAAAAGTGCATTGGACTTTCTGCTACCAGAAAGGCACTCCACTGCAGCACCTGGCAGCATAGAGTTTGCTGTCAAATATGAACAGATGCTGCAGCAGGCCGTTGAACATATTAGGAAATCTCAAGATGCTATGATTGCATATGAGAATAAGCATAGACGACCCTCTAACTTTCAGGTAGGTGAACGAGTCTGGGTAAAGTCATCTGAATTAGGTCAGGAGTTGGGGATATCCAGAAAACTGATGCCACAGTATTTCGGGCCCTGGGAGATCTTGGACGTTGTAGGGGATCAACCGGATGGGCCTTCATACGTGATCCATATCCCTGCACACCTACGCACCTACCCAGTGTTTCATGCCTCCAAGCTGGCACCTTTCGCTGCAACTGAGCAGTTTCCTTCCAGAAGATCAATGTTGCCCCCAACCATGGATGGCGAAGTGGACATTGACCAGATCGTCGAGCATCGAGTGATGCCTGTTCCTCGACCATCAGGCAGAGGGCGACCTCCTAAGCCAAGAATGCAGTATCGGGTGAGCTTCAGACATCACCTCGATCCCAAGGAAGATCGCTGGTTCACACGAGAAGAACTCATGAGAACAGCACCTCAAGTGATTGCAGGCTATGAAAGAGAACGGAAAGGGAAGATGCCTGCAGAATAAGAAGACTTCTCAGAGGACTCACGAAGTTAAAGAGGGAATGCGAGGATCAGGGTCCTCGGTAGGCCTATGGGGCCCTGTCTGCAGCCTTAGCCGCCCTACGTGAAGGCGGAGGTGCCCGCCCTAAGTGAAGGTGGGCCTGGCTTTTTGCAAGAGGCCTTCGACTGTCGATTTCATATTTGGGGTTCAGGCAGTTGAGATGCGCCAGTTGGTTGAAAGAAACACAGGCCGAGCAACAAGGACATTTCCACGGCCTACCGGGCCTTTCCACAGAATGCAGGCCCTGGGCGTGATTCGCAGCCTCATACAGAGACAGTTGGGCGCCCAACCGAACGAGGCCCAGCAGCCCAGTAACTGCTGCATCCAGGCAGCCTCCTGAGGCCTTCCGGAAGCTTCTGGGCCCAGGCCAAGGCAGCCAGGCTGCGTGAGCAGGCCAACTCTTTCCATAAAGGAAAGAGCTCGGCCCTGTTTGCCTCATTCGGGCACTCGCATGCTGGGCGGCAGCGCTGCTGGAGCTTATGCTCGTAGGCTGCTGCTAGCGCTGAGATGCGAGGTGCAGCACGTGCGGTCGTGCAGAGGAGGAGGGCGCTGCTGAGGGCAGCGCCATAGCCCAGCCACCATAGCTGGTGGGCTTGGACTACAGTGAAGCGCAGGGGTGGTCTTCGGGTCAAAGAGAGGACAGGTGTGGGTGTAGTCAGGGGATAGGTGAAGGATGATGATGATGATGATGATGTGAGGGCACTTACCTTGTATTGGCGATGGTCTGCTTGGGCGACATCTTCAAGTACTTCGGCCTGCCGCTGATGTCAACAGTTGCATTGTCTTTTGGTAGTCTGTAGTAACTGTGTAGGAGCAGGCTGGGCGCTGAGTGTGTGTGTGAAGGAACTGGACTCTTGTGTTGAGGGGAGAGAGTATGCTCTCCATGAACATTGGTTTTCAGTGCTACGAACTTCCATTGGTGTATTATTGGTGCAATGCTGCTCTCTGGACACAGTGTGACTATCTGGCTTTCAATGTGATGGTGTGACCTGGAATTGTCATCTCGCTGTTGCTTATTTCCCTTGCAGTGTTGATTGCTATCCTAGTTGGTCATTGTTCCGTCATTTGGCCTTTGACGTATGGGGCGGTGCTTGCATGTGGGACTTGTCATCTAGGATCTGTTATGTTTGTTTTTTGGCACCCTTGTCTGCATCCCGGTTGGTTTTGTCCCGTTGTTCGGTCTAATTTGGCGAGCGTAGCGGTGCTTTCATGTGGGACCAGTCATCTGTTTTTTTTTTGTTGTTCGGTCTATGAGAGCATGAATGGTTTAGGAATGGGAATACCCACGTCTTGGTGACGAATAAGGCCATCTGCTGTATATATATATATATATATATATTTTTTTTGCAGACAAGAGTTTTGTCCTGGGTGGTCTTGTCCCGTCGTTTGGCCTGTGAAGGAGGGTCGGTGCTTGCATGTGGGACTTGTCATCTAGGATCCGTTTTTGGTGCTGTTGCTTGTTGCGCCCTGTTTTTTTGAATTTGGCTGCTCCCTTCCTCTTTTCTTTGCCTCTTTGCCCTTCGGCTGTGTGCAAGTGGGTGGATATGACACACGGGGGTGGGGGCAGCCGCCGCTCAACCTACATCCAAAAAATGGCCCACTTGGAGCTTTCATTGATCCTCGGGGTTCGCTTAAGCAAC